AAAATTTAAATACTATGTACTTTACCAAATCTGAATAGAATGTGTGAGATGAAATTGATCCACTTACCTGAAAAAGAAAAAAATACATTAATTATACAAAAATATTATACAGTAAATAACTATTCAAATATTTAATAAAATTTAGTAAAAAATATAAAAATACATATAAGTAAATATATATTTAGAATAGAATTGTTTTGGATTTTGTAATACTCTACTACATCTGTTTTTGCCTTAAGTCACGTTTTCTTCATTGATAAAATAAAACAGTGAAAAACTCAAGAAATAATCATGATAATTGTCTTGAATAGTTCGATGTTATCATTATGTTGTATTTTTTATTTGCCAGAACTGAAAATCATAATATTTAAAAAAAGTAGTCAGAGTATACTAACTTTATATAGATTATGTTATATCATAAAAAATCACTTGAAGATTGAAGACTTGAAAAACAACTTGAATTACAAGAAATTTAATCACCTTTATTCAGGAATAAAAAGCATAATTTCTGATCTAGCAAAACATTATTGTGAAATTGAAATTGATAATTTTCAAAACAAATTCAATACAAAATATTTATACTATCTTATATTGTATTTTTTATAACTCATGTAAGATGTGATACACTTTTCTTCATTTACCGTAAGATGAAGCACATTCCAATGTTTTTACAAATGACAAGTACATCTAGGACAGAAATAACGGCTTGTTCCATTTATCAACAAAATTCATATTAAAAAGACATATAATTAAAATTTAACATCAGGAAACATAAATAATATGTATATGATAAAAGTATTTATATAGATTAAACAGGCGAAATAAATTTATTAATGTTAAGAAATTAATAAAATTAAGCAAACTTGCTAATGCAAAAAAAATTAATGTGTTTTTTACAAACTTCCATATTATATTAAAGAGACATTAATTAAAATTTAGCTTTCGACAAACATTATGTTTGCAAAATATTTATAGAAAAAATATGATGAAAGTATGTTTGTACTTTAAAAGCGTAAATTAAATTAATTAGTGCTAAGTATTTAATATAATTAGTAAACTTGCTAATGTATTTAATTAAT